TTCTATGTAAATATAAATTGAAAAATAAGACAAGTGCGAGTGTAAATTGCACTTCAAGGGTTTCGTAGCATAGAACATTAAAATGTGGTTTTAACACACTAATTTGTTATTTTAAATGTATATTAGCCAACGGAACCCTAAAAATTCACAATTATAGAATTAGATACTGTGTGAGAAAAATATAATGTAGGTTTGATTAATGGTATATTATTTTGTTATTAAAATTTAAGTAATTTATTCAATCGAGTGGTATTTTTATCTGCATGAGTAGTTAGAATGCTAAGCTAAAAATATTAACTGATAGGGTAAATTTCTAAGAAATCTATTGTTAACTGTAACGCCGACGTGTCCGCGGTCGCGGGTTATTTTATAAACATAAAACCTAAGTCTTAATTGTCGGTTAAAATACTAATAATAAATTTAAGAAAATATAATAAATAATAATAATTGGAAATGTAGCAAAGTCGCTAAAGATTCAGCTGCTGGCCTTCATAGATTTATTGATTTTGCTTGACTTTAAGAAGGTAAAATTATGTTGTCATCTCTTGAACTAATGACCCGTTTCAAAAAAAACACTTTCACTTATGTAAATTATCCCCGAGGTTATCGGTATAGGCTAATAAATAATTATATTTCTTTTTAGCAAGGAAAAAATGGCGCTTAGAACATTATTTTTGCCTAAGCATTATGACATCTGTAAGAAAAAAAAGTATATTGGTAAAAAAAAATTACTGACGAAATACCTTTTATGTTAATTAATATGCCTTTAAAATTCAGATAGATGTTTCTAAGATTTTTTTTTATTGAAGCCAATATTTGCTGCGTTGCTTCTGAAGCCGTAAACATTGTGTCTCATATGAACAGCCAGGAATTACAAAAAATAAGCAAAAAAGGTGGCACTCCATATGATAGCTCCAGTTGAGGTGACAAAGAGAGGATAGGAGCTACTTTCACTGTGTTTTCTTTATCTCTGAAACTTAATAACGCTTTCCTATAGGTAGTTTATTTAACACGATTTTGCTTGCGGCTAAGTTAACTGAAGCATGAATAAAACAGTATAATATAAATAGGTATCAGAATATTCCGGATGATACGAAGAAATCTCATGTATTCTTTATTTAATATATATTTTAAAATCATAAAATTCTAGCAAAATATAACATAAATATTGGAAATTTTACTCTATACTTAGGTAAATACTAAATACTATTTTAAGATACGAACAGCCATTGCTGAATGAACAATGAAGGAAAGCGAGTAACAGGTGTGATAGTTCCCATAAACCCTTCGCAGTTTTTATAGCTCGTAAATTATTTTTTATAACTAAAATACAACTAAAACTATAATAGTGTTTTAACTATTTCTATAGAATCAATTAACCGTTATTTAATTACACAGAGTTATCTACTTAAGTTACTTGCCCTTAATGATTAGACATCGCTCGGACCAGACCACTAAAAAATGTAAGTGAAATTCTAATTTTTATCATAAACTCTCCCAATTTCAATAAATGTACAGAAAAAATACTGGACGAAAAAGATTCTGCTAATATTTTAAAAATACATACCTATATTATAAATTAATGATGATTAAAATTTGTTTATACATAAAGTCTATACAGATAGATAAAATTAAAGTGTCTGTTTGTTTGTCAGCTTTTTACTAAATGCATATAAAATTATATGTCAGTCTGTTTGTTCCGGCTAATCTCCAAAGCGAATGGATTTTTATTGGCATATATCTGATGTTATAAGGAGTAACTTGGGTCACTTTTATTTTAGAAACACAATTAGTGTTCCGCACAAAAAAATTAGAAACCATGAAATTCTGAACAAAAACCTTTTTTGGTTTATGCTAGTTTATACATGAAATTGAAAATAACTTAAAAACAAAAAAGAATTCAATAGCTTATGTAATATGCAATACACTGCGGTGCAGATTAATATTGCAAGCAGACCCGCAGGTGCAAGCGGGGCCAAATTGAAAATAGCTTACGACAGCATCATTGACTCGTTACTTGACGGGCACGATACGATTCGTAAAAATTGTAGCCAAACGACAGAAATCTAAGTCTTTCAATAAGTCTATGAATAACTACTACGTTTATTCGAGCAACTATGACTCACTCTGTTAGTATGTACAAAACTTATTTTATGTTAGTAAATAATAATTTAAAATCTTGCTTATATTATTCAGTTGTATTGATCGTTTACTAATTTTACATTTATAAGTGTTAAATATGTACTATTATCCATTACACAGTCCTGTGACTTTATATTACTACCGCAAACATTATTAAACGTTTTTAGCAGGCTTACTGTCAAGACCAATAAATTCGCTTAACAATTTAATAAGACATTTTAGTATTTCGTTATCATCGTGGTAATTAAAAAAAATCAAACGTAATACTTGTGGTGACATCAAATCTTACAGCTTTAACAAGTACATTAGGTTAGTTAGCAAAAAAATATTCAAATCGGTTCAGGCGTCTTCGAGTAATCGGTGAACATACATAAAAAAAGAAAAAAAAAAGATTCCGACGGATTGAGAACCTCCTCCTTTTTGGATGTCGGTCAAAAAGTGAGTTCCAATTGCAACTGTGAGACTAATCTTTTAGCATATTTTTCATTTTATTTTGTATAGCTGTAATATATTGATTGTGTCAATCATGTCATTTTTTTTGTTTATCATATAACAAAGTAATAGAAAATGCAATTTTATTTGTTTTGCAGAATAAAAATTAAGTTATTTGTTGCATTTTTAAAAATCAAATTATGTTGATCCCTCAACGACCGCGGACACGCCGGCGTTACAATTTACAATGATTTCGTAAAAATTTAATTAAAGAATTAAGAAATTTACCTGGAGGTGTTAATATTGGTTCGACTAACTTAGGCCTAGGCTAAACTAACGCGCTAGGCCGTGAGAAGGTAACAAACGGACAAACACACCTATATGTACTAATTTAATTATAATAATATTGAAGTATCATTTCCAACATGATTACCACTTGTCTTACGGTAAAGGAAAACATCGTAAAGAAACCTTCATCGCTGAGAGAACCTAACAAGTTTTCGAAAGATATGTGAATTCCGCCAATCCTTGGCCAGCGTGGTGAAGGAAGGCTCGCACTCAGCAGTGAAACGTTAAAAAGAGCTGAATGCATACATACATACATACATGCATACATACATGCATACATACATACATGCATACATACATACATAATGTTCTCCTGATCCATTTCGGCCGTGGCGACCAATGTCACTGACACTAGCCAGATGCGCTGAAAATATTATAGTGCACAGTTGTACGCGCAGAGTTATGTAAGTGCACTCTCTATTCCTTTTATTCTCAAAGTCCGATGGGACGGAACTTCGACACTCGCAGTAAAAGTTAAGGCGCACGGCCTTTACGTGCTCTCCGAGGTGTAACGCCGTCAACTTCTAAACTCCGGGCTACTACTGAAAATATATTAACATAAAATTTCAATAATTAAACTTGGCCCGATCCGGGACTCGATTCCAGGACCTCCAGATCTCCAGCCGTACATGCTAGCCAGTAGACCATTGAGGCAGTAATATATACCAATACATACAAATAATAAAAAAGAAAAAATACAGAATATTTTTTTATTATTATTTTATTAAGCGAATCGTATACACATCGTAAGCTTGTAAACGGGACTATTCCCCGCGTTGCAACTCTATCGCAATTACACATCCGCATCGAGTGTTAAAGATGAGAGACGCTGCGAATGCCAATAATCTAGCAACAGCAATCGACTGAGCCCTCACTAGTATGATTAGATTATAACTAATTCGTTAGTTATGTTTAAGTACTTCTAGAGAATTTTAGCTCAAATTATATGGTGCTAAGAACACATTTTATGTATTTTATACATAATTTCGAAATATTGTTTCGTTAGCAAAGTTTATCAAAATATATCTTTATAGAATTTAAGTATACTTTCTATATATTTGGAATTTTAAATGATACTATTTTTTGCATTTTTCCACGATTTCTCTCGTGACCATGGTTGCTGTAAATTCAAATTCTTAGGATCAAAATAGCAAAATAAAACTGCAAGAGCCCGCAAAAAAAATATTTTAGCTAAGGTAGAAACACGGGTGGATGGTTTTGGTACGCGTATTGTGTATACTGAGATTAAAATCCTAAGAACACTCACTTCAATGGTCTTATCATACATAATATGTAGGTATATGTGAAAAGTGAACACCTTTAACCGCTGCGACTCACATGTCAACTTATGCAGATTATATAGCTTTTAGTGTCCATATCACGCTTAAGGGAAAAACTTTTAAGAATTCGCACTAAAATCATCCATGTTCTATTACTTGATGAGCATTAGCCCATTTTTTAAATTTAACAGCTATTATCTATCTATGAAGCATATTGAAGGCTTTAATACCTATTTCTAGCAAGTAGTAATACTTTATTAGTATATAGATATTTTTAGGATCCCGTACCCGAAGGGTGCCAACAGTCTATTACTAAGCCTCCGCTGTCCGTTCGTTCTTCCGTCCGTCCGTCCGTCCGTCTGTCAGATGGCTGTGTCTCATGAACACAACATAATAAAAATAAAATAAAATACGAGAACCATTTTTTTAATGTTCGTAATCGATCATCGAAGTTAATATACCACATACATAGAGTAAAAGTCATATCAATAAAAAGTACATGTACGATAGTATGGAACCCTTTGTGTGCGAATTCGACTCGCACTTGACCGATTTTTTACATAAGCGGCTTCATTTAGGCTTCATCACATCAAAGCCAGTACTTAAAAGTAATTTCAAAATAAATATTTTCTTACTTTATATAGCAGATATATAGTGTTTGTTAATCATGATAAAAAAATCATTAAATCCCTTATAGAATTTTTAGTCAAGCGTATAACAAAATAAAATTAATCTTATCCTGAAAATATAAATTAGATCAAAATTCCATTGAAAATCTGGCTTAATAGTAATAAATCAATTTATCGACTGTCGAGAGATATCTTCATTACGCGCCTCCAAGGCTTTTTTTGATTTCCCAAGCGCTTCCGCCTGGTGTACTGTGTCCGGGAGGGAGTCATTCGATACGTCGGGTACTAATAAAGTGGTAAGACCTGCTATTAAAGCGGCTAATCCGAAAACCAAAGATGGTAGACCCGACCAGTAAGTTACCTGAAAATTGTATAAGTGTGTCTAAATAATACGATATGTTAAAATTAAATATACATCTATATATATAAAAGAAAGTCGTGTTAGTTACTTCGCTTATAACTCAAGAACGGCTGAACCGATTTAGCTGAAAATTGGCAGGGAGGTAGTTTAGAGCCAGGAGAAGGACATAGGATACTTTTTATCCCGTTCGACCGCGTTCCAATTTTTATGATATTTTAATTTTTGGATTTCTCTTAGTCCGGAATAGGTAAGTATTAAAACATATAATTAAAATGTGAGAAAGAAAGATTTTTTCTTTTTATATCTATTTTATAATATATGTATGTGCTATTAGTACGCTTTTGTTTTACTTAACGAGATTCTGGTCATTGTTATTAATATATATATTATGAGTTATAGTTTTATGTATAAGATAACACTATGTAAAGTCACGTTGATCAACAAACACACATAGTATTTAGGTATAGTATTAGTAGGCACATATTATTGTGATAGAAGGAAAAACAATATATGTATATGTATGTATTACCAGTAAAGGCGTTTGCGGTGCTATAATAGAGCCGATGCGACCGAGCGAGGAGCACAGTGCGTGCATCGAGTTCCTTGTGTACGTCGGGAACAGTTCCGACGTGTACAGATAAGTGATGGAAAAAAAGAAGGAACCCATCAGTTTGCTTGTCACGTAGAATAGAATTGATAGCCAGGGAATGTCTAGAAAAAATATGTATATCTTATATATATGTATATATATATTAAAAACAAAAATGTAATTTTACTGAAAAGCATCTAGCAGGTAGTATCTCTATTGATTCGCGGATTCGAGTCCCGCTCCCGATAATCATTTACATAACATTTTTAATTGATATTACATCGTACATAATATGTAAGATAAACTCGCAGCTAAGAATAAAAGTTGTAAAGTATATATTTGTATATAAAAACGAAGATTTTTGTACAAAAATATAAATAAGAGCTTTTAAAACATTTGCGTACGCTTAATCATAATTATAAACGTCTGTACTTACTTGGCAAAAACGGTTGAGATATACATAACACAGCGCCAGCGAAAAATGATAGCATCAAAGGTAATTTTCTTTTGAACTTAATTAGAACATATGTTATAATTAAGTTGCCAGGAATATCTACCAGAAATGTTAGAGCAAAATTTATGTACTTATTTCCTTGTAAAGAAACAGAATTAATCACCAGCCCGTAATTTACAAATGTCGAAGTCATCCACCAAACCAGGCAGATAAAGAAACGTCTACGCAATTGCTTTGATGAGAACGTGTTTCGGATTAACTCATTAAACGTAACGTTTGGACTGACTTCGTATGTAAGTTTATCTAGACTGTTCTTATCAATATCTATTTTATTTTTCTTAGCAGCGTTCGTTAAAACTGCTATCGCTTCATCTTTTCTGCCTTTAACTAGAAGCCATCTTGGGCTTTCGTCTATAAGGTATTTGTAAGATATGAACAGAAATGCAGGAGCATATATACTACGTAGGAGCCATCTCCAGTTCGGGGTAAGCCAAGCTGCAAGAGCTAGAGTTGCACCACCAAATGCATAGCCAAATCCACTCAACATATAAAACGTTAGCTTCTTCTTAGTTGATACAATTTCTAATGCTGTAAGAAATGACAGAAAATAGTATTTTATGATCGTATAATTATACACAGATTGTATAATTGTATTTGTATTATTATAATGGAACATACTACTTAGAATTCTAAGTGGTACATTTCATTGGGTTCAGCCTGATGGTACCACTTAGGTCGTGGATTTGGTTCTAATTTAGTATAATTAAAGGTTTAATCATTTTTTTTTTATTATATAATAGTTCTTTACCTATGAAGTTGCCGTTTTACAATACTGGCCATTTGAAACGTAATTTATGAATGGCCAGCAATAAAATCTAAATTCAAATGAATTTTATTCTATTTTCAAATTCAGTCATTTATTTATTGATTAGTGTTTTATTTTACTATATTTTTATCTTTTTCAATAACATGGACACAATAACAATATGAGTAATTATGGAACACAAATTATGTCGCGGTAGCAATGCCGCACAAACGTCTCGACATTTTAAAAAATAATATTATTTGTAAATAAAGAAATTTTTCTGATGTAGTTTTCTATACATTTACATTTGTTACAGTTAAAAAATTGATTCCTAAAAAAAATAACGTACATTATTTACGATATCGTAATTTGCCTGAAACGATTCCTTTCAAATAGACTAGATGAATATTTATTCATACTTACAAAATACGAACAGAGGTGAACAAATATCTCCTATAGCACCTTCCATAAATTCCATCGCTATGTAAAACCAGTACCATGTGGAAAAACTTCTTATAACCCCAAACAAACCTCCCAAGACTCCTAAAACAATGGCGGTGTTCTTCCTTCCGAATCTGAAGAAATAGATAAAATATTATAAATATTTCTTTATAAGTAATAAGGAAATAACTACATGGTTTATAAGATTCAAACTATTCTATGCAAGATTTGTCAAAAAATACTATACATTTGTTTAAAATCTTAATTTATAAGTAACTAAAACTATCTTTATTTATTTTATTTTTATTACTTATTTATTTTTATGTTTTGTTTCTTAATTGTATTACTTTGTACTTTTTGTTTCCTGAATAAAATAAGAAATAAAATCTTTTCTGACTGACTGTCTGTCTCTCCCATGACCATGATTGTTTTAAAGTATTCGAAATATCGTGAACCAAAAATCAAAATTAATCCGCGAAAAGATCCGAAAAAAAAAGTTTTAATTAAAACTAGCATTGCCCGCGACTCCGCCTGCGTTCAGATGACCAAAAACCAAATTCTTAGGTTTTACATATTAGTATACTCTTGCATTGCATTCGTATGTTTGTATTAGAGAGTAACCTCCGGAACTACTTATCCGATTCAGATAAGTTTGCTGTCAGAAGTCATAATCAATTTATTTGAAGTCGAAAAAAATGTGGCTCTTCAATAATATTATCGGCGTGTTTGAAATAAATAAATATTGACAACCAAAACCTATTTGTTTTCAAATGATAAGAGAGACGCAGTTTCAAAGCAATTTTATACATTGTAAAATAATGGTTTTTACTTTATTGCCTTAAAGACACGTTCTAGTTATTAATGACAGTACGTTGACTTAAAATAAAAGTATTTTTAATTTTTAATAACAAGTGATAAGAATTTTAGTGTCAAATTCTTTTTTTTATTATTCTATTGCATTTTTATACACTATTCTAATTTTAATATATTAAATACATATTATCTGCCATTTATTATTATTAAATGTTGTTTTTGTTACCTCAAAATCTCTAAAAATTTCAGCTATAGATAAGATATTTTTTCATCAATTTATGTCTAAAATTAAAAATATATTATCACTATGACTAAAGGTCTCACGTATGTAGGATAAGTAGAAAATTATTGATAGATTCCTCACGGACTTACATACTGACATTTAATTTAAATTTTGAAAATGTAAAAAGTTATTTGAATCAAAATATATCGAAATTCATGAAAAACAAAGAAATATGCCTCTGGCATATAAAAAAGACCTAATTTTTAAACAAAAAGCAAATGCATTCGTATCATAATGTCAAAGTATAAAATATAATTTGAATATTTGCCCAATTAAAACTACAACCAAAAGTGCCTAAAGCATCAATCTAAATTTACATATAAAGATTTTATTACAGCCGGCCGCGAAGCCAAGAAACGCACTGGGAGGTGGCCCACTCCAGTAGGTGGTGTACCATGCTCCTGCTCGTGGTTGGTCCTGATACTTCTCTGATATCAGAGCGGAACAACCCCATGGTTTTTTAAATAAAACTATCTTTTCGGATTTTGTCGCGGATTTATTTGCATTTTTCGCGACAAAATCCGAAAAGATAACCCCATGGTTATTATGGCCTGATTCGGATGACCTGCCGTCGGGGCGTTCTGGTTCAGTGCATGAGCGATCCTGCTACGCCCTATTAAGACGAGGGAAGTTCCATTGGTTTTAGTGGGTAATACTGACTTTGCCGATGAGTCCCACATAACCACCTATATGTAGATTGATATGCCTAAATACATTTCCCAACGTTAAAAAAAACTAGCAAAAGGGAACAGCTAATTAAGCACTGCGAGCTCTTTCATTTCTACAATTATCATTTTTTTTCTTAACTCTCTTTATAAAAATTAAATAAAAAAGTCTTTAAAAGAATTTGCAAGTTTTCTCTACTACGCCTCCTGCTCACTGCGTGTCTAAAGCAACTGTACACAATTTATCAAAATATTTATATTTAACCTGCCATAGTGCGCGTCTCTTCATTGCAAAGTCCATCAGCTAAAGTGAATGCATACAGCCTTTGGCGATAGCACATTTTACTGCATTCATCTTAATTTTCACTGATGTATCTATAATAAAGTTACTATCCATACTACTACGTACCAAACACACGAATTAACTTATAGCTTCTAACTAGTTTTGTGCGTAATAAAATTCGACATATTAGTGGATAAAAATAATGATCTTACTTAAAGTATTCGTGTTTACGTCCCATAATATTTGGTCACTTCGCATTGAATTGATATTTCTCCTATTTTTTTAACTTTAAGGCTGTTGTTTAATATAATTTACTTACTTATCTGACATGGGTCCGACGAGAAGTAGCCCACACATGTATCCAAAACTGTGCACTGTCCCAACAAATGTTCTTTTCCAGTCTTGGCAGGCTAAATTGAACTATAAAAGAAAAATATTATGAGACGCTATATGATAACAAGTTTTAATTCAAATAAAATCAACAAATCCCTTGCCTGGAATTACCCAATATACTTATCTACAATAAGTATTAACGAAGAAAGCTATATTATGAGTGTTTTAATGCTTATTATTAAAAAGCAAAAATATTTTTGAGCCCATTCTTCTACTCAAGGAAACAGAATGACTTAAATCTGTTATTTTAGCACCTATTTCATGCTAATGATTCGGATAACATATTTAAAAAATATATTTTATATTCTCTTTGACTAACTGGCACTATCTACTACACCTAAGTCCGCGTTATTCACTCAACGAAAATCATCCTACAAGTAATATTAAAAATGTAAAAGTTCGTAGGGTTAATTGGATGATCGGATTTTTGTTCCTCAATCGCGAGTAAGCCCTTTAACGGATTTATATGAAAATTGTAACAGATAGATTTTAAATTCTGGATTAACTCAAAGGATAGTTTTTATCCCGTGTGAAAGTTACTATCCCAACGACGCTTTGGTCGTCATTCGTCCAAGAAAAAATATAATAAAGAAAGAAGTCCTTTTAATGGAATCTGTCAAACAATTGACTTAAAGACGAGCAAAGTGAGGTCGAGTCACAAGAGTCAGGGTAAAATAAAGTGTGCCTTCAAGTATTACTCTAAATCAGCCATACTAAACCTTTTTTTATAGGAGCCACAAACACATTTTAGTCATGGTGTCGAGGGCCGCAGACAAACATTATTTAGGTCTTAATGAAAACGTAATTCCAAGTTAACGATGTAGTTACTTTTTTAATAAAGATATGTTATAATGCGATTTTTGATGCTGCCGCATGCGACCCGCGGGCCGCAGGTTGAGTATAGCGGCTCTAAATGGACATAATGAAAAATAATTAGCAACTTACATAGGCTACGAAGCTGTCTGGATCATCGTAGACCCATTCTGAGCAATAATATGTAGAATTGGCTGCACACTTAAATGGTCCTTCTGCATCATATTTACACCTGAAAAGAGAAGCTAATATAACAATTTTTCTTATGGAACATTTGTCACCTTTGTTTTTAATTACATAAATGGATGTTCCTGAATAGTGAAGACATAACATATACATAGGTCTATGAGAGAATATTTGATTAGGTATGTATAGTAAATGAAAACTACCAATCAGTAATTTTTTAACATTTTAGTGCTTTTTTTGAAGTCGGTTTTTATTTTTTTGTTAAAGTTTTTTTCCACGATATCTTTAAGAAATAATATGAAACACGATCTTATTTTTGCAAATAATAAAACATATTGCGCAAGTGTTAAAAATTCTTCAGTGTGTAAATAAAACGCAACATGATATGTACCCCTATACCTATTATTTTGACGGTACGTAACCCTCGATGCGCGAGTCAAAATCATACTTACACGTTTGAAAATGATTACAGCCATCAAATTATTAGCTATAATATAAAATCAAAGTTTTTTAGTCGTTTAACAGCGGGCAAAGCCGCGGGTTCTGCTAGTTAATTTATAATCACTAACCTTGTTGAAACCTGTATCAAAAACAAATCTATTTCAATGGTACTGGTAAGAACATGTTATGTATATGAAGCGTAAAGGCAAAGAACAGGAAATTTCCTAATCAATAGATTATGAGAAAAAAGCAACTTAAAGTTTAGAAGTTATAATATTTTCATTGAGATCAAAGTATACAGTAACTTTAAACTATGTAACTTTTTGGACAATCCTGCTTCTTTACCGGTATTTCATGGATATTCCTAGTTCTTTTCGCTTTGGTCATAGAAAAAACGTATTTTTAGCGACCACTAGTGGTTGGAAATGCAATTATCATAGACAAACATTTGGTACCAGAACAAAGCAAGAAAAAGCAGAAATTGTGACATTCCCTGTTCTTTGCCTGGACGCTGTACCCTGCAAATGGTTTTTGTTTCTTTCGGTAATTGAAAAACCTACATCTCCGTCCACCGTTAGGTGAACAAATAAAAACTTAAAAAAAAATCAACTTCCAGGCCCTAAAATGTAAAAAATAACTAAACGGGGGTTTTCATTTAGAATAGATACCTAATCAGATATTTTCGAATTTTTTTTTTGAAACAAAAATAATTTCCAAATCGGTTCATGCGTCTTCGAGTAACCCCCCCAACGTGCGTTTACCTTGTCGTGGTGGAGGGGCTCAGTAGTGCCCGGAAATCCAACCGGGCGCGAAGCCAAGAAACGCACAGGGAGGTGGCCCACTTCGGTGGGCGGTGGGAGGTGGCCCTCTTCGGAGGGCAGTGTACCATGCGGGTTGCTCCTGGTACTTCTCTGATAGCAGAGTGGACTGTGGAGCAACCCCGTGGTTGTTGTGGTCTGCTTCGGCAGACCTGCCGTCGGGGCGTCGTAGTTGAATGCGTAAGCGATCCTGCGACGCCCCATTAAGACGGGAGAAGGTTTCGTTGGGTTTTAGTGGGTAGTACTGGCTTTGCCAGTGAGTCCCACACCTCGTGCGTAAATGCATTTCCCAACGTTAAAAAAAAAAGAAAAGGCGTCTTCGAGTAATCGGTGAACATACATAAAAAAATGATTCCGACGAATTGAAAACCTCGTCCTTTTTGGAAGTCGATTTAAAAATGTATATACTAGTGGCGCTACTAGTCTTTTTGGGCTCCAATGCAAAAAAATGGAAGTTTGCCTATTATGAAATAATATGCGGAACTTCGAACGAAATTTCGGACACTTTTTTTGCGTTTTTTTTTTAATTTCTATGAGGGCCGCCCTCGAAAGAATGTTTTAAAATAAAAATATAGTCTGTGACCCCCGCTGAGCCCTCTTGAGCTCCAGTGCCCCATGCGACCGCATTGGTTACATTGGCATAGCTACGCCCCTGCTAGTATTATAAGAATTTTCATGCAAATTAAATGTTCTACAGTGGAAAAGCAATCTGTTTTTTTACGTTAATTTTTATAACTATTAGTTTTAATTACTGTATAGTAATAAAATTTTATAGAAATTTAAACAATTTGTATCTTAATTAAATTGTATCCTGCAGGAACTGTTCTTTTACAGATATTGACACATTTCATTGACACACTGTACTTTCACAGGGGCATTCATAATATTAATTAGTATATTGATTTGACCAATGGCCTCGCTGATAAGTAGTTGTAACTTAACAATATTTTCATTATTAAGTCATAATATTGTCATGGTCAATAAATATATTATGTAAGTTACATTAATAATTTATTTACAATGCTAATGTTCTTTCATGTGTACAATATGTTAATTTTGTTATGCTATTTGATTACTAAATAAATAAATAATTAAATGAACTTATTACTGGTGAAACCTATGGTAATGCACTCGCTCAAAAAATTAAGTGAAAAGGGTTCAAACCCCTAATCACGTACGAGTACCTCTGATATTTTCCTCTGATATTACCACTCACCCGGTGAAAGAAAACGTGACATTACATAATAATAAAAATATTGTATATGCTATCATATGATACTTGTTCTTAAATTTTATAGAAATCTTTGTGTGATGCGCGTGAGGAGTGTCATAAAAATAGATACTTAAGTAGGTTCTATAAAAATATATGAATTTAAACGTCTCTCGTGTATCACGATTATTGATTGTTGAATTATTTATGAGTTTAAAAGTAATTTTTGAATGGTGCTTTACTAGCTTGTTATCTGTTTGATATTTTTAATAAGGTGCCTATTATCTGATAAAAAAGGTTCCATATTTGTAATTTAACCCCTTGACCCATAGAGTCAAATTGCTAAACACTTTTGTATTAGTTTTAATTATCAAAATTATTACATTTTTTTAACAGATGGCTAGAGCAAGACAAAATAGGTTATTTATCTCAGAAAAGAAAATGCGTTGCCACTGAAAGAAAAAGGACAGCTGAACGATTTCGTATGTTAGATATTGGCTTTCTTACGTGGACTCAGGCGCGACTACAGAGTATTACTACTAGATTATTTTTACATTTTTGACAAGTGCGAGAAAATGGCAATAGTCATTTAATACGAGGCCACATTATTCGTCAAACATCGGTGACACTAACCCCCTTTAAAACCAGCTTAAACATTAGTAATCTCATAATATGAAAAACATAAATTTTACGGTAGGTAAAGTATTTTTATTATTGCGATCCATCAACAGTGAAAATAATAAAGATAATTTAGATATTAACAACATAAAATATAACGCAAATAAAATAGATTTATTGATATCGTAATTCTAGATTATATCGCTTAGTAGGTATTTTCTTTATACAGCAGTTATCTATTCGTTTATTTCATTGATAGTTGAATTGAAAAGTATAAAATTTACACCGACTATTCTTGCCGTTGTTTTTGCAGTTCATAACACAACAGCAATCATAGCCCTTTTTAAAATACATAGAAATTGTTGTAAATCTCAAACAAAGTTTGATTGGGTGTCCGCGAATTGTTCAGATTTCTGCCACGGCATGCGCTGCGATCGCTTTACTATACCCCCACTCTGTACTTCGCACATGGCCACATTCCAACCGATAGTTTCGTAAGCCGTAGTCCGAACCTCGCAGGAGACCTTCTGTCCACCACAAAAGCCCGGTGACGCTGCCAAGGCCAAAAGGGCCAGCAGCACTACTCATTCCGAAAAAAAAACATGGCTATATTGCAGTGACGACCCACTGCCGTCTTGAAACAATATAATCAACGCAAGTTGGTGATACTCTAATCTGATTTTAATAGATGCATAATTGTATGTATAATTAACTACCGCGTATGAAGGAAAAGTGCACAGGAAAATCATACATGGTTTTTGTTGCGCTGTTTGTGTTTAGATTAATGCTTTAAAAGTGTCATGAAATTTAAAAAAAAATTGTTACTTACAAAAGAATCAAATAAATGACAAAATTTTAATCGTTATCGGAAAACCTCTATCTTTCTAGGTATTAATGTAATACTACACCTTTCTCTTCATTTCTCTTTCTTCGTCTCAATGCTTGTTTGTCTAAAGGACAAATTTACTGATAGAGTTTTAAATACGAATTACTTTAAAATGTCATTCCTATTGGTATAAAATACACATTTCACTTTAATAAAGCCGAAAAGATGTGTTTTTTCCTATTCATATATACCATTTTACTATATAAATCTTAGAAATCAAGTTTTGTTTTTTAAAATAGAAGAAAAACTCTTCAATAAAGTACAACAAGTATCAAGCTCGTTTGAACAAACAAGCACTAAGGCAACTCAACGGCACGTTCTTTGAAACATTTACTCTTCAAACTATCATCCCACCTTTCCACTAAACCATCACGCCCCAACGGCTAACTGCCGAAGTAGACTGCAGACCACAACAAACAAGGGGTTGCTCCACGGTCTACTCTGCTATCAAAGAAGTAACAGGACCATGACGCCACCGAAGCTGGATTGTCAGACGCTAACGAGCATCCTACGACGACAAATTTAACACCCATCGAGAGAACTGTATCATTTCCTTGTGTTGTATTACATTATTAGAAGAATATTTTTAAAAGAATATATTTATATTTTAATAATAACTTAGAATTGTTTAGTACAATATGATATTTTCCTCGCCCTTCGTCTACTACATATTTGAACTTCAGTAAACGATAACAATAAAACTTAACAAAAAACTTATCGCTAAGATAAACTATTACGGATACAATAAAAAAATTACCGATACAGTCATTCTCGAGCAACAAACATAGATAAAAAGTTTTAAAAATTGTTAAAACTATTTATTTCATGTACCAATTTTCTCTTAAAGATATCTTTTATATTTATAACATTCAATATAGGTACAACTCGCAAACAGGGTGTCACAAATTTCGTGTACCTATATAATATAGGATGATCCCATATATTTAAACAAAAAAATCAATAAGTAATTTTAAAATTATTTTAAAGACTTTAGTATCTTTAAAATTAAGAAGTACTTGGATTAGACGTAGATATCGTATAATTTGAATCTGTATAAATATTGTAAATGTGAAAGTTTGCGAGTATGGATTCACGCCACAACGGCTGAACGGATCTGGATGAAATTTGGCACAGAGATAGATTATAGTCTGGAATAGCACATAGGCTACTTTTTATCCCGGAAAAATTTATGGTTCCCGTAGAATAGGTTTGTTTTTGTTTTCCTAGAGGCATACCTGAGCGAAGCAAGGATGAGCCGCAAGTATTATACATAAATTAACAATCGAATTATGCGTGATGAATGTAAAAAGGAAGAATGATTAACAGTGGTCTTATATGGGACAGCATATATCTTAAAGTAGTAGCTGGTTCTATGACTGTAATGACGTTAATATTATATTGTGATGTTTATTTTGATTTAACAGCTAGCATTGGTTATACTTTATACCACTCAGCATTTATTATATCAATAGCTGTAGCGAAAAACGAAAAAAAGAAGAAGGTTTATTCAGTCTGTAAACCCTTCAAGATAATGCGTATAAAAAGTTATATTTTTTAAAAGAAATACCTAGCACTATTTTATATTTTTTAATTACACAATAGTAAAAGGTAACGTATGAATAATCCAGAGAAAAAACAAACAGACAAACAGCCATTGCTCTATTGAGAATTAATTAACTAATTATTAAATTAATTAATTAATTATTAGAGAATTTGAAGATTTTAAATATTATAAAGAGTTTTAAACTAATATTACCTATAAGTCACTTCTTCAGCAGCAAAAACGTAATTTGAACTATACATCTGGTTTGTGAGAAACGCTAAGAAAAGTAAACACATTAACTCCCCGTGATATCGACCGAATATTCTATATCTGTCCAACACATCGTCCAAATCAACTTTCTTTTCACTACCAACTTTTATTGCACCCATTTTCAAACACTTTGTTTTAAATTATTATTTTTAATATTATTTCTAAATTAATTTATTTGAAATTTTTATTCATAATTTACTTAAATTATTTTTAAGCAAAAAAAAAAACGAATTTAAGTATATTTTATAGTTCAAAATGAAAACAAAAAAGGCGTGTTTAGTTGCGGTTATATGCACGGTGAATGAGCTAAGTTATTGTGCTATTCGATATTTACATTTGAAGGTGATTTGTTTCTCCGTTATAAGAACCTTGGTATTGAAATAAAATTAACAAATTACATTATTCATTATTTAAAAGTTAATTAGATCGTTAGTTTATTTTTTTTTTTCATATTATATACTTAGAATATATATATATATATATATATAAGATATTTCGTATTACAAGCATTACAAGTTAAAGGACGTGTAGCTTTTCGGAAAAATTTAGGTGTCAAAATTGACGAGATGTTTGTCTCAGTTTGTAGTGTGTTATTATGATGGTGCTCGCAGATTCGATTTTCGTATAGTGAATCTTCTTCTGAATCCTTTAACGCAGAAAACAAAAAATACAATTTTCTTTATTCTTTAGTTTCGCCTTTTCGAAAGTTCTTCTTAAAATATTTTTTCTAATCAAGAATCAAATAACGTTTTGCAATTAAATGTACCTAATATTTTTGTTGTAACATTACTTTTTTTTAAAGTAAATTTATGATATGTGGTCAATAATTTCTATATGGTTTTAATTATATTTTTATGCCAAAACAGCGGTTAATTGATTTAAATAATGATTTATTAGCTATGAATTTAAAATAAAAACACTTTAGTATTGTGAAAATCAAATCAAAGTACCTATATTTTCTTTGAATAAACTTTTAAAAGTACCTTTGAATCGTCAACCTGAAAATCTGAAGTAACATCGGCTGTTAAGTACCCAGAGACAAAGCCTAAGTATTGGTAAGTCATTACTTAACTATTTACATATACATAATTATATATGCTCAAAATAAATAACGTTGAATTGATCATAAAAAAATTCGAATAGAAATAAAAATTATAAATTAAAAATTAAAAAAAAACCTACGAAAATTAATTGTCATTTAACGATTACACTGGCACGCGTGAAGCACTTAATCGAGTAATCGTACGCCAAAATGCCTTGCATCATTTTGGAAAAGAGCTGATACTCTTACACTGCTGGACCGATATTAACCAAACATTGCTAAGAACCACCGCAAGGAAATTGGCTTTCAAATGAAAAAAACCGAATCGAAATTGGTCAATCGTTTAGGAGTTACGATGCCACAGACAGACACACACACACAGACAGACAGACATCGACGTACCTACCTTAACACCCCTCTTTTTGCGTCGGAGGTTAAAAAATTTAACATGAAGAAACCCACTTATTATCAACAGTAAGAGATTACAGCGGTGCAAATCGCAAGACAAAGGTCTCGGCGACAATTCTTAACCATACTAAATTACAATAGCCGTAACTACAAAGTTTGTTGTCATACCTTGTCCAGAGGCTAAGTGTTTTATTATTTTGAACTGAATGTTAAAAAAAATGTTTGTTTGTTTTTTTTTATGTTAGGACATTAACACAACACCATCTAGTTTCATGGTAAGCTACGAGGCTTGTGTTATGGATATCAGATAGTTAATACACATATAAAACTTTAAATACATACATAATATTATTAATATAAACACCCATAACTGGGTAGCACAAACATTCGTGCTTATCACACAAATGAATGCCTCCAGCGGGACTCGAACCCGCGACCGCTGGCACAGCAAGTAGGCTTACTACAAACTGGGCCAAACATGTCGTCGATTTTTTTTAACATTTGTTTTTTTTCATAAAATAACTTTTTAACCCCAACTGTTACTGTGAATTTGAATCCTGGAATGGGCCCCTGGTCTTATAATCTGCAGCCGATAATAGTGTTACAGCATTAAAGGTTATCTTTGGAACACGTGAGCAAAACCGCAGGCATAAAGTAATAATTATAATAATATAATATTATTTAGTACACATTTCCATCTTGAAAACGTTGAACTCATGAGGACAGTCAACTGCAGCTGTAATATAATAATAAAGATAAAAGGCATTGTTCCAATATTAATATAGTAGCTATAAATTATGTTAACAGTTAATAACAAAAATTCTGCAAATATTTTTTTTATAAATAAGTACCTATTTGGTGTATTTATAATAACTAAGGAAAATTTAACACGAACATTTTTTACAAAAATATATAAGAAACTTATTTTTGAAATTTAACAAAGAAAACAAAAAGAACAATAACTTTGTTTCTTAAATAGACAGAATTGCAGTGAATTTTAATTAGCACCTAATAGTTTAAACAAAACATTTAAATAGATTCGTGTTGAGCCAAGTACATATACCGGGTTTTGTCAGTGCGACACCCACGTACCTAAAGTCGATTCTACACTCATCTCGTACCGGTCATGTTGAATTATCTTCCGAATTGATTGAGATTGAGAGATAAGGAAAAGATAGTGTTTTTTTAACTTGTTGATGAAGACAAGGTAGTGCCTGACATTAATGCCTCAACAATGCATCGCGTAGTTTTAGGAGCGGGTGCGGGATGGCAAGAGAAAGGCAGCGGATAGCTGGTCGACCAGAACGACTTCGGTCATGGTGATATTCGCATGAATAAATTATCGGGTTAGCTCTATATGTAGTGCCTATTAAACCAATTTAGTACAGTCCACTCTGTAATTTATTCTGTATAGAATAGTCAGTTTTCTCTATCGCTCATTGTACAGGACACTGTGCCCATAGCTTGTGCACTATAATATGTGCTGCGGAGAAAGCTACAGTCGAAGCCCTTAAAAAACCGATCTGTTATTACACATATTAGTAAGGATATAATATCCACAAATAGAGAACAATTAATAACAATTGTTAGCCAAAATTGAACTTAACCGAGCGATACGCATGCGAAGCCACAGGCAACAGCTAACGAAGAATTCATACTTCAGTGGCACCTGTACAAACCACAATCGAGCTACACCTGCGTATATTGACAATATGCAATTAATTATAAATTGATTGATAGCGCGCCATATTTATGTGGAATGAAAGGGAAGTTCCGAATATGTCATATTGAATGTGCGAATTATTTCATTACGTCATTATTTGAATCGGAAGACTGAGGCTTAATGCGATTTAATATTTTCATTTGTATGAATTTCTATTAAGTTACAAGGACAGATTATGTGCTCCAATGTGAATTTCTGTGAATGACGAATTTATAATTATGATATATACTTAAATTTTTGCAACTAAACCCCAAAAATAAATATTTTTTACATATACTGTAAAATAAATTTAATAACTAGTAAAAAAATTAACTTAATGTGCCTCAATTTGAGGCTAGATCTGTCTGTTACACAAAAATATACATACGAGTATTAATATAATAGTAATAGTATAAAAATATACATAAGTTATTTATTCCAAAACTGAATTTTTACAATAGTATTATAAAAATAGTATCCAAATAGATTAATCGAAATAAATATCCATTGAAACACTTTTCCCATAACAAATATAAATAATGAAAACTAAAAAAGTTCGCTCCACCGTGGCTGTATGGAACAGCGCCCAAACGTACACTATGTTATGCTTAGTATAAAAATTGCGAACTCTAAATGGAAATTTGCGAGTTCTCTCTTTCCTGTTGCTCTAATGACCTTATAAACCTTTCAGGTATGAAATAATTGAATTTCTTTTAACGAATATTTTATACAATTTTATTCGATTTGATTTTTATTTTGCTATATGGTACTAATACTAAATAGTAAATGGCAACTACAGAACGCACTGTGATAATGTACAAGGTATGTCTTACATTTCAGTTTCAGTTTTGCATGAATAACCACACAGTCCAAAATTTTCCCCTTATTCTTCTTCTTCTCCCTGCCCATTTTCCAATTTACTACTTGGAGTCGGTGCAGTAAATCTTCCTTTTCCATTCTCCCCTATTACTCGTCATCTCATCATTCACCCCTTTCTCTTTCATGTCCTATCTCACACAATCTATCTATCTTTTCTTCGGTCTTCCTCGACCTTTCCATCCATCTATATTCATTTCCATGACTCTTCTCGTCACATGCGTTTCATCTCTCCTCTTCACATGTCCATACCAACATTTCCTTTCAACTTCTCCGTCACTGGTGCTACTTTTAAGCTTTCTCTTATGTACTCATTCCTTATTTTATCCATTCTCGTCACTCCAGAGATCCATCTTAACATTCTCATCTCTACAGCATGTAATCTTTTTTCATCAGTCTTCTTCGTAGCCCAGCATACATAACAACTATGAACTATGATCCATACATAACAACTAAGTCTTATTACGGATTTATAAATCTTACCCTTCAAGTTTAGGGGCAACCGCTGATCACAAGTTTTCACTGTGACCTGTCGCCATTTCATCTACCTAGAGTTCATCTGACGCCAATTTTGTACACCGAGTCCAAAATTTCTTATTTTGTGTATATTCCAAAATAGTATTTTTTATATAGTAAATAACACTTATACTAATATCGGTACCAACCAGACGCCACGAAATGTTACTATGCCATTGGTTGCTTTTTGTCACCACTATTGTTCAATAATCAACGATTACCAGTTAATACCTCCAGATAAATTTCTAAAAAATAATTAAATTTCTAAGAAATCTATTGTTAACTGTAACGCCGGCGTGTCCGCGGTCGTGGGGCAATTAATTATATTCAATTGGTAAACAATATTTATCCAAATATGTTGATATCTGTGTATATTTTTTTAATAATTAATTATTATTTTCTTGAATACTATATTTTGTATTATGTATGTGCTATGCAATTCATCACAATAAAATATCAATTATTAGCTTTTAGTGTTATTACATTCTTCACAAAAAAAATTGTGACAATAGTGTTTATTTTGTTTTATTTGTTTATTCTCCTAAATAAACAAATAAAACAATAATAAATGCGTA